AAACAAATACACATATAAAAACAACATGGATATCACATTTTATTTCTTTTCAAATAAATAAATACATAAACATCATTTAAGTGTCATTTTAAATGACAAACAGTCACATAATATATATTGGTTTATTAATAATCACAATACAGAGAATGACATAAAAAATACAAATCGAGAAACTCTATAAATATAAAAGATGGAGAAGAAAATTTATAATAACAAAACTCCACATARATCACACTTGATCATAATTTAATTGTTGTCAGAAAACAAAAAAAAAATAAAAACTTGAATAAATAAAAAATATTAATAAAACAAAATTACGCAAAATAAAAAGACACATAAAAAGAACGCATACACAACATAAACAAATTCCAAAAAGAAGGATGATGAAGAATCATATTCAATAAAATATAATAGAGAAGAAATTTTTGAACAAAACATTCGTCAACAACATATAACCCACACAAATCATAAATTAAGATGTAATATTTGTTACCAGAAAAACTTTATAGAGGAATAACATTCGGTATGGACAATAAAAACATTCTACATAACAAAAATTACAATATATAATGCATAGAAAAACAAATGTAATAATAATTAACAAAATATAATAACGTGGAATAAAAAACACCCATCAACAACAAATAACCCACACAAATCATTATATAAAATGTAACAATTCTTACATGAATTTTATGGAGAAAGAACAACAATAGCGACGATAAAAAAATTCTGCAAAAAAAAATATAACACATCAATAACAACAAATAGCTTACATAAAAACATAAAATAAACCATAAAGAATGTAGCTTCCATCTTGATTTAGACATTCGATTGTGTAGTTTGCAATATGATGGAAGAATTAGTAAAACGAAAGAAAAAAACGTTAAATGAGATATAATATATATAGATGAGATTAAAAATCGGAATAGAAAAACGAAAAGTCTAGAACATTTATAAGTTAATAAAATACAATTAATATAACCAACAAAATAAGTCTAAAAAAATCTAAATTTTTGAAAAAAAAAAAAAGGAATTATGAAATAACTTTTCCACAAAGTATCACATAAAAAATTCCATATTTTTACTTTTAGATTTATGTAAAATAATGATGTCAAATGCTCAATTAAGAACATCTTTGTTTGGAAAATTTTGTTTTTATTTTGAAGAAAATAATGAAATACACATTTTTCATTCACGGGTTAAAAAGTATTTAACTTATTTAACATTTCATAAATTCAAAACAATGAGAAAATCTCTTTTAAAAATACTCTTGTGACAATGTCTCACACCAATTATTGTATGTTTATTTTAATTAATAGATGAAAAAATGAAAATAATATAATAAATATCAAGAATGAAGATGAAAAGATTGGGGGTTAAACTTTTTAAAATTACCAAAACAATTCATTTTCTAAAAATTCCATTGTCTTTTATATATCAAATATTTTAAAAAATCTAAGAAAAAAGAAAGATAAGCTTCACATTTTCTAAATAATATAATTTTTACATACCTTTTTAGAATCTTTTAAATTTTCTTCAACTCTTATTTCTTCATTACTCACCAAACGATTTCTGTAAATTGAAAAAATCTTGAAGTAGTCAAAATTTAACATGATTATCAATCACATATAAATAGTTATTGTTAATGGAGCTTAAATTTGAAAAAGATTTATCATATCCTATGATTACAAAATATCAAATATTTATTCGAATTGATATGATCCAATCGTAAACATAAGCATATCCTAGGATAACAACAAATCCAACAATATTGAAAAAGAAATATGTAATAACAAATCACATTTTTTAATAAATATAATTTCTACATACCTTTTAAAATCTTTGAATTCTTCTTCAACTCTCACTTTCTTCATCCCT